CAGGGAATGGAAGCAAGAAACCCCCAAACCGAAACGTCATTTAAGTCCCCAGAAAAGCATCAGAAGGAGAAGCTCCCCAGCAGACTGCCTAACGCTGCGGTGGAAAGAGCCTGTCTCCACGACAGTCGAGTTATCCTTTCTCCCCTCCTGCTCCCATGTTCCCTAAATCCAAAGATTCGCAGCCTTTGAACATAACAAGAAAGAGTCTCTAAATGCTAAGGACCACCACAAAACTGAGATTTCCACTGATCAGGAACGACTGATGTTTCCAGTTGGAGGAAATAAGGTTTTGGGGGTTTTCTGGAGTGAGATTCCTCCTTAGATTGCACACCCACAAGTCCCACGACGCTGCAGCCTGGATCGAGCTGGGTACCAGCTTTTTATTATTTGTGCATTCGTAGGGCGAAGTCAGGAAGGATCACTGTAGAACAGACCCGACTAAATGAGACGTGACCGTCATGGAAAGAATGAGCTTTAATCTTACTTCCTTCACCTCTTACTGAATTCCTTCCCTAGTCACAGTGCATTTCTCTCTTATTCACTCGCAGCAGAACTGACCTCTTTGCTTCAAATCCAGAGGTGGGACAGATTGCCGTTTCCCCCCACAAAGCCCAGCACAGTTCCTGTTTTTCCAGGCCATTCTACCAGTGCACATTCTTTGTTCCAGTTCTTATCCAGCCTGACCTCCTGCAGACTAACTGGCCGTGTTGAAAAGCATTCCCTTTGCATATATTCATCTGTTTTCCAATATTCCAGTAGCTTTACCTAAAGACCAGGTCATGATTTTATAGGCTCTTGGTGCTGCGGTTGTCGCTGGTCTCCCAAAAAGGACTTGTTAATTAACTGAAGGGGCTACAAGAGGCTGGGGAGGACTTTTTACTCGGGCCTGTAGTGACAGGACAAGGGGTAACGGGTTTAAATTGAAAGTGGGGAGGTTTAGATTAGATATCAGGAAGGAATTCTTCCCAGAGAGGGTGGGGAGGCACTGGGACAGGTTGCCCAGAGAAGCTGTGGATGCCCCATCCCTGGAAGTGTCCAAGGCCAGGCTGGATGAGGCTTTGAGCAACCGGGTCTAGTGGAAGGTGTCCCTGCCCATGGCAGGGGGGGGGAACTAGATGGGCTTTAAGGTCCCTTCCAACCCAAACCATTCCATGATTCTATGATTCTATGAACTTGATCTGAAAAACAGTGGTTCCCAAACATTAGGGTGGTGACTTCTGCTACATTGCAGTGCTGGGACCACACTAGATTTAATAGCTAATTAAACTGGTTTTCTGAGATTTATCACCTTGCTTACACTGGCTGATACCTCAAACCCAGTTGTATTGGGGAACGGGCCCCACCCTCCCACAACTGCACAATATTTAGTTATTTTTAATACTATTACCTAAATATTTTGACCATTCTCCGAGTAGATGGAACCAGTAGAAACAACTTGCAGCTTTTACCTAAATACAGAGATACATCTACCTAATTTTACCTAATACAGAGAGATGTCAACTTCCTCACTAGGCTTCCCTGAACAACCTTTTCCTCGAGCCAAACCCACGGTAAATAAGTTTTTAAACTAAACCCATCAGGCTAGGCAGGTACAAGCACCTTCGCTGATAAACCCCACTAACTGGAATCAAGAGATAGTAAGACAAATCCCAGCTTTACATGAGACATCTGGGGCCCCAGATGCGTGTTTCGGGTCCGAAAGTAAGCAAACACAGGCACCGAAAGCAATAGATACCCATGGGAAAACTTTGTTTTTAAGGATAAGGCCAGTGGAATGTAAACAGCGGGGCTGGAATTGAGGAGCTGGCTCCAGCAGCAGGTATGCTGCACGGTTCACTAACACAGTATTGGGTATAGATAACGGCGTGAGGAAAAGTGGGTTTGCTTACGGGCCCTGAAAATGAAGATCCGTATGGAAACCCTGGATCTCACTGCAAATTCAAGCATTTAACACTCGGAGAGGAGAAAAGCAAAACAACAAACAGCCACTGCGTTGTACTTTGTTTTTATAGAATTTTTACAATATATTTCTCTTCATTTGCATATTTTACCCACATCTGTAGCTTTCTTTGTACATGTTGAACTGAACTGGAATAAATCTAAAGGTCTGATATATTTTAAACAACTGATAAAAATTGCAAAGTAGTAAACCCGTAAGAAAAGAAATTATAAAACTCTCCTTTTTAAGTGTTTAATGAAAGCAAGTCAAACGTATCATTAGGAACAATAGGGTTTGTTTTAAACACATCATAGGTGATTCAGGCAGGACTTTTTTTTTTTTTTTTTAATATTAGGCACATTTTCGTCAGCATACCTGTTTTCCAGAAAGTTTTATACTATTCAATAGCATCATCTGCATCTACTTGGAACTGTTGCAGGATTTTCAAAATGTGATTGATCATGAATATTCGTTATTGGTATTTCTCTTCCTCCTTCTTTACAACTATCAGAAGACAAAAAAACCCAAAAATCAGCATTTCTTGTCTCTTCAAAATCCATAATGAATGACTGAGTTGTAAGGCAGCAACAGATTCAGTGTCAACTCAGGTCACAGTCCTTCAGTTCCATCTAGTGGGTAGAAATCGTATTTAGTGGACGCTGCTCCTAGACGGTCCCTTCGGGGCAGGACGACTGACCCAAAGGTCAGTTACTGCTGGTAGAGTAAGGTAAGTGGTACACCTAGTAAGGAGCACTGCCCACTCCTGTGTCACCCTTGCAGCCTCACGTCTTCATACAGAAAGCAAAAAGACAGTCCAACGGGGCGAAAAAAATAAATGTATGGTTGAGCCATGACAGGTTCTGTGAATGGTTTATTTACAGTCTTTATCCCTGATGTGACAAAAGAAAAAAGCCTTCCTTGACTCGAACAGGCAGATCTCAGCAGCAGGCTGCACGCCGTAGCAAACCGGCCCGTTGCACACCCTCGGCTGCTCAGCCAGGGATTCACACCGAGGCAGTGAAGAGAAAGTCCTGCTGCTCAAGGTGAGCAATTCCAAGATGCTCACCCATCCCACCGATACGACTCCCTAAAGCAGACTTACCAATGTCTCCTTTTGGTGGAGCAACTCCCCGCTCCCAGAATCTGTTCATGCTATTGGAAAGTGTGAAACAGTTGGCTCCCTGGGGATCTCTGCGCCACCCCTGCAGCGAGACTGCCAGCTCAAATACGTTACTCGGATGTGGGAACAAAACCATCCATGCGTTAAAGCTATGCCACAACTCTGCCAAGTCCCTTCCCATTGTGATCTCATGAATTCAGGAAGGAGGGCTTTAACCTTCAACCGCAGCATACTCGAGGAGGGGTTTCAGAGCAGTACCTCTGCCTCCTTTCAGTCTTTGATAAATAGCACGTTCTCCTGAATTTTGGCATTCTCAGTTGCCACTCCGTGGCTTCAGCACAGTGCTTCTTGGGCTTCAGTCTGAAGTGTTTCAGGCAGAATAATCACATTCAGAAACCTCATCCCCTGAAGCAGCATTCATTTTGCACCCACCTGGCTTACAACTTTAACTACAGCACTAGAAGCCACCAAAACCCACCCCAGGGATGTATTACTGCATGTTTCCCTCTCATGAAGAGATTGATCACCCTTAAAATTCCAGCCCCAGCTGATGAGACCATCCATTCAGAGGCCGTCCCCCGGAGCGGTGCTCCTGTGCCCGCTGCGCACTGCTATTCAGGCACCACTCCCCTTTTGGACAAGCCAGGTCCATAAGCACATTCCCTTCTGACAGAGCCACCGCCTTCACACAACTTGCCTTCGGTGACTACTGAAGCTTCTGGTTGCCTTTTTTCATATCCCAGTGTTGAGGTGAGGAACGGAGGAGAAAATAATTAGCATAAAACATTCTCTGAAATCATACTTGACAAGGCCAGCTCTCCACACTGTATAACGGTATACAAAATACACCTCCACATCCTTCTGTGTTCCTTTTAACTCTTTGGAAAGGGAACAACCAGCGTAGTTGAGCAGGAAGAAAGCCAATTTATTTCAGCGTAGAAGGTCTGCAATTCATTCCACGTTCACTACGGGTAATGCAGTTATTGCTCTATAAGGTAAGACTGGATTGATCACGAACCCCCACCCTGAGTGCTGGGAGTCCTGGTGCCCAACTGGCCGAGAAGGACCTCCTAAGCCACTAGTATTGAAATGATTAACAGAAAAAAGCCTCACGATTCATTTCTTGTGAAGATGTGATCTTCGAGAAACATGTAAGTTCCTCAGTTCTTCCTATTTCCACTGCTCTGCGAGCAGAGCCCAGCCTTTGCTCTGCACTAGAATCGTGATTGTTTAGAATAACACACTGGAAACAAATTAAGGTAAGAACAGATGATCCAGCTGATCAAATCAAAGAACAGGAGAAACATTAACCTCTTGCATGAGAATGCTCTGAACGTGAAGTCCTGTAACTGCTAGGCGAATCACTCAGAATTTCTTTAACACCTGTAGTTTGGTAAGAATTAAAGTTCTTTTCCTTGGGTAGCAGCCTTCAAAGAAAAAGCAAACAAGAGAGGATTCAAGTGTGGACCGTTTCTGCATGAGCCCACCAGATTCTGATTTTCCTGTCTCACTTCAGTGACATATAACAGATGCTGCCGACGGCAACGCTCCGTGTTCAGCAATGTTTTCAAAGCTGTCACGTTCCATCAATCAAGTTTCCTTGGGAGCAGATGATATCAACGCAGGGGCCTTCCATGCTCGTACTTCAGCTACCTTCTTTCCTTTACCTCCTCTGAATAAAAGAAATGATTGTTCTGTTTACTCTAACATGCTACAATATGTGCATACATAACTGTAGGCGACGCGTGAGTTACTTCAAGATGTGCTTTTTCATTGAAGTGCGCTTTTACTTTTACAAATTCTACATCAAAGTGGAAGGAAGGCTGCAGAGTGCCCATACACTGAAGCTGAAGGAACTTTTCCTGAACGGAGTTAAGATGTTTGTTCCAAGGTTCCTATGGACAAACTACTCTATCCCATGCACTCCGGCCTGAGCCAGTATTAAACATTCCAGAAACTTGTAGATTTGTTCGGGTAGTTAATGGCAAGGCTGATAGCAGCAATGTTTTTCAGGGCCTAGAAGAGAGAAGGAAAAACAAAGGCACGTCAAAGATTCTCCCCAATCCAAAACTGTAAAGGAATCCTTGTACGAAATTAAACAGAAACAGATAAATAACCCTCCTGTCTCTACCCAGTCATCTCCTGGCAGCGCAGTAACTGTCACGCATCCAGGCAGTTACACCAAGGCAACTGCATTTCCAGTTGCTGAAGGGCCAGCCCCCTTCCCCCTTCCCACACTTTGGCAGTTGAGGGGCAAAGCAGATGCACCCGACTGCACCCAACAGCCCGTTGGCCGCTCATCGTCGGACCAGTAAAGGGGAAAACATTGGAGCGCAGCTCATGCACAGATTTCAGAGGCCTGTCATGGTACTGTAAAGCCCAAGTACATTCATAACTATTTCTTAAACTCCACTGGCAACTAGAAATCATTCGTTATCTCTGTCTGCCAGAAGAATATCACAAACCCACACATCTCTGAGGCTGTGCAATCGTATTACCTGTGCTGTGCAGCGATGAAGATGATCTTCGGTATTTAAGGCAAGCAAATACTCCTGCAGAGATCCAAGCTCCTGCAGCCAGAAAGCACTGAATGAGCACCAAGGTTTCTATCGAAGAAACCACCCTACTAATGAACATTGAAATGCTGATCGTTACCGCAGTCCCCGTGAATGGAAGGTACCAGAACTCCACACAGGGCTCTCCCGGACACAGTTTGTGACCACAGACAGCGGTTCATTACAGACAGTTCATATCATATCGCACCACAGAACGGTTTAGGTTGGAAGGGATTAACGTTCAAAGTCAACTCAAGGAGAACCACATTCAGACACCTTTGAATTCATCACTAAATTCATCACCCTCTCAGGATGAAGAGTGGCTCCAGGGCCTGCTGCCTTAATCCCACAAGGAAGCGCCATGACTATTACTTAAGATCCCGTGACGCCCTTCTCTTGGAATCTGCCACCAGACTCCATGAGAAAAAGCCGTTGATGGTTCTGAAGCATTTAACGATTCTACAGCTTTGATGAGCTTTGCCAAGACCAAGGACAAGTGCATTCCGTTTAACACTGAACTGCGCATCATTCCCAGCAGCGGGGAGAGGAGGGACACAGACACAGGAACTTACAGTAACTCTGTTTTCTGTCACAAAGAAGAGTTCCGCGAGTGCACGATGCAGAGGAAGGAGAATACCAGGCTTGGTCACGTCATGACACAAGTTGTTTTCCATGTGGGTGAAGAGCTGCCAAAGTGGCTTCAGCAAGGTGAGGTCACAGTCCCTGAGAGAGAGTTGTTCAAATGAAACAGTGAGTAACCATGATCTTGCACCTGTTTCTAGGGGGTGCAGGAATCCAACCCAAACAAATTTAAGAGAACAAAGCCATAGAGCTTTGACAGTTAGCTGTATAAAGGAAGGAACACGCACAAAAAGTGTTTGAAAAATCTAAGTTCAGTCAGGTGTTGCAGCACAGTGAATTTATTCTGAGTCAGTGAAGAAAACCACGTATCCACGAACGTGTCTAAATGGCTCCACTAAAACTGAGTGGCCTTCTGAAATGAGGACTTCAAAATAACTACATACGCATCACTTGGCTAAATGCTCTAGCTACACGGCTTGCAACGGCACAGCACCGAACCACAGCACCGAGCAGGTGACGCCCCTGTGTAGGGCAGACAGAGAAAGGGACAGAGAGCCTTACAGACAGCTCCAACCCTCCCGCCTCCCCACTCCTGAGCTAGAGAGCTCAGCCAGATGTCACTTCTCACACTGCACGGATGGCAAACCATTCGGAGGGAAGGGGGAGAGGGGGAAACACCATGTCAGAATCTACCAACAGATTAACACCAAAAAATTAAATACTATAAGCACTACAGAGACTTAATCTTTCAGCAATTACATCTGTTGTCCACATGACAAAGCAGACATTTGCTGATAAAAAAAACAAACAAACATAAGGGAACTTGAAAAAATAACGTATCTTTGATTACAAGTAATACTGAAATCAGTTTGTCAGACTTGGATGCAGATCAGGGCATCTAAAATTTAGAGAGTCAAGCAACGGTCCCGTGTAACTGTCCATTTTCACTACTACATGTGAATATGCTTTCTGACTTCTCTTTATCAAAGTGAGCTAGTAGCTGTTATTTTCGTGGTTTTGCTTGTTCTGAACTGAAAGGACATCATAAATAAGTCTCAGTGTTCCACCACTGTCTTTGTTTCCAGCATTTCTATTGAGTTAATGGGACTGTACACATTTGCAAATCACTGTAACAGCTCAACACTTTTTTGAATGCGTATTTTCACAGGAAATACCATTGCCATACATACTTAAGGATTAGCCTATCTGTCCCTTCTAAAACTCAATTACAGGCTTAGTAGTGCAACCAAAAATAATCATAGACTCATGTCTAATTTTGATAAATAAAAATATGTGATATTAGAATGAGAATTTAGTATGTGGAACTCTAGTTAATGTTAATGCTAGCAAGGTGATAAATGTAGCAAATATTAACCATGTATCATAGAATCACAGAACGGTTTGGGTTGGAAGGGACGTTAAAGACCACCCAGTTCCAACCCCCCTGCCATGGGCAGGGACACCTTCCACTAGACCAGGTTGCTCCAAGCCTCATCCAGCCTGGCCTTGGACACTTCCAGGGATGGGGCATCCACAGCTTCTCTGGGCAACCTGTCCCAGTGCCTCCCCACCCTCTCTGTGAAGAATTTCTTCCTGATATCCAATCTAAACCTCCTTAAATCTCGTAACCCCTTTTCCTGTCACTACAGACCCTTGTAAAAAGTCCCCCCCAACTTCCTTGTAGCCCCTTCAGGTATTGGAAGGTGCTATAAGGTCTCCCCGGAGCCTTCTCTTCTCCATGCTGAACAAGCCCAACTCTCTCAGCCTTTCATCATAGGACAGGGGTTCCAGCCATCGGAGCATCCAGATCAACATTTCAACAGTTTCTTACTCCATCTTCACCTTAATTCTGAAGTACAACTAATACAAAGAGAATGAATTTCTAGAAAATGAATTGAAATCTGGTTTTTTGTCCAGTTTCAGGGTGATTTTTTTTTTCTTTACACCAGCATTTGAATTCATTGGACCTTATTTAAAAGCCAAGAAAGAAGAGAAAACATTTTCAAAGAAAACACTTATAACCAGTTTCCACTATCAAAGCGCCATGAATTGGCAGCGGAAAGGCAAATTACAAACACCTACTTCAAATCATGGTTTTCTGGCTCCAAAATAATATCAGCTTAGTCACTTTTTCTTCTCCTACCCTTTGCCTTTTAGCATATAATGCATGACAGTGCCCTTACCTCTGGGCGCTGCACTGCACTATCTTCAGGAGCAGGTGGATAGCCTTCAAACGCTGGTGACCCGTCTGGCGGCATGCTACCCCCACCTGCCATTCCCAGATTTTGGCCAGTGGGAGGTGAGGAACTACTCTTTCCTCAGACAGCATCTGCTTTAGAATTTCAAACCCTGGGGAAAAAAAACCACATTCAAACAGCTGTTACTTTTGTAGGGACCCATTCTGTTCATATATTCAGTTCTCTCTTTGCCGTATACTGACTACTGCTTGGCAAGCAAGAAATATAAAAAAAATCACCATATAAGAGGTTATTCCAGATTACATCCTGACATCACAAGTCTTTTCTGGGGAAAAACTTAGGTAAAAATTAGAAAGATTCCTATCTGAAATAAAAGATTTTCCAAAATAAGAAAAACACAACACAGCTCCTCACTACTATGTGGCATGCAGGAGAGTTTTGCTGATTGCAAATCACCCACCAGCCTCAATATCACTGAAAACATGAAAATAAACTAAGAAAACTTTTCATGCTGTATCTAGAAACCAGATCCAGAACCAGCCTATTTAAATGGATAGCTACGTTTTAAAAAGACAATTACAATTATTTCTGTTTCCAATTACAGCACCTTGGAGGGTTTACTAAATCCTGGGTGTAATTACTGTCATATAATGAGACTGAATACAAACAACATTATTATAATTGTTATCGCCAAGTCTCTGTGAAGATTTGGTATTTTTAACATAAAGCCACAGCAAGAAAGAGACATTAGTCAAATTTCGACCCAAACAAAACTAATCACATTTTTTCCCACAACACTGGAGAACGCAAATTCTAAGTCAAACAAAAGGGATAATCACAAGTTTGCCAAAGCTCGGCAAAATAATGCCAAAAAGTCCTTTCCAATCCATTCTGAGTAGTGCTTACCTGTCTGAAACCTTCCAAGATGACCTGCTGTCACTGTAAACTTATAACCCCACTCAGTGTTACTCATGTCAGAAGTGAATCGGTAATAGAGCGTGTCTCCTGTGCACAAGGGAAGGAAGAAAATCCGCATTACTACCTTCTGGGAGAGTTTTGCTATCACAAACACAATTCAAAAGAAAAGCCTCTCACATATTAACCCTAGGTGTTGTCATTCAAGAGAGGTGATCTATTGCTTTCTGGTAATTCTGAAATGCACAGGACAGTGTGATAAAGAGGGGGCTGGAACAAAACGCAGAATGAATCAAAGAATCACAGAACAGTTTGGGTTGGAAGGGACCTTAAAGCCCATCCAGTTCCAACCCCCCTGCCATGGGCAGGGACACCTTCCACTAGACCAGGTTGCTCCAAGCCTCATCCAGCCTGGCCTTGGACACTTCCAGGGATGGGGCATCCACAGCTTCTCTGGGCAACCTGTCCCAGTGCCTCCCCACCCTCTCCAGGAAGATCTTCTTCCTGATATCTAATCTAAACCTCCCCACTTTCAATTTAAACCCGTTACCCCTTGTCCTGTCACTATGGGCCCTTGTAGGAATGGTTTCCTCTTTGCAAAGACACTTAAAAGGATAATGTTTCTTACATTTTTGTCAGCTACACAGAATAAGAGGGAATTAAAGAAACTCTACACATGATTAAACTTCACTTTTCTGACTGTGTTACGGATCAGTCAGTTTTGAAAAAAGCAACAGCAGTAGGTAGCTGTAATGCTAAACAAAACGCACCCGTAACTACTGTGCTCTGTAGTACCAGATCTGGTTAAAACTTCGATTTCCCTTCTGCTCCATGAAAAATCCTACCACCCTGGGACAAGCATGCTAGTTTTCACTGGGAAGCAGAATTTTCAAAGTTTCACAAAGAAACTTCATGAAAGGGGAACGCCATTCCCCTTTTAACCATGAAACAGAGCCATTGCTCTCCCCTACTCCTAGGAGTCTTGAGAAAGCCCTGCCATTGAATGAAAAGCCCAGAAGCCTTCAAATGCCTGGTGTCAGCTAAAGCCTGCTGAGCGAAACCAAGAGCCTTAATCCAGACAGCCTTGGCTGGAAATGAAGTTTCACAAGGTCAAACCCACGTTTCACAGCCAAGGCTGCTCCAAAACAATGGGCCTCAAAGTGCAGTTTCTTGGCAAATCTCCACGCTATTTGGGAGGAAAAGGAGGACAGAAAGAAGTTCATAAAAATCCAACACACTTCTGCAGAGCACGCATCTCTTTCTAACTAGCACCTTGTAACCCCAACTGCCTTGCTAAGAAAGTTCCTGTTTACAGCTCCTGACAGCACTCGAAGGCAAAAGCTTCCTGCAATGCCACAGCGCTCCGCGGGTGAAAACAACTTCACCTGAGCAGCATGGGACCATGCAGCCCTTCAGCTCACCAGCACTGGCTGCTGTTAGGAAAAACGCGCCCAGCGAACAGCGGCTGCAGTTGTCGGCCCCATGACTGACGGTTCTCAGCTAAGCTCTGGCAACAAGTGGGGCCAAGGCACTGGCACACACTCTCCGTTTCTCTGAGCACTGGTGTAGCACAGAGACGAGATAAGCCTATCTGTTTGGGCTTTTTAAAATGTGCTTCCTGTGGAAAGTAAGACAAGGCAGACACAATGTGAGTGAATAGCGTGCAGAACAAGGGCTGTGCTGGAGCAGAGTCAAGATCAGAATTTGTTTCCAGTAGCTGAGCGCATGCTTTGACTGAGGGGTGGAAAAAAAAGGTCAAGCAGCAGAACAAGAGATAAGCCTCCTTTCAAGAAACAAATGCAAGAGCAGCACTTGAGAGCAAACAGGCAGGGATGAGAAAAGGAGGGGTTTTTCCTCCCCACACATCTCTGGAATGTCAGCATTTACTGTTGTCTTTCAGTAGTTTCTCTCCAGAGTCCTGGATACCAGCAGTTCCCTACCCACTTGCACTTTGAAACACTGCGTATTCACCTGGAAGCTCAAAATCGTTCCATTTCTGTGGAGACCCACTGAAGCTGTGCCGATCCTGCTGGAAATCACTGCTGCTGGACATGAGCAGCTCATCGCAGCCTTCTTCTGTGTTACACTGAGAGTCAAATTTGATTGAGAGGTAGATAGCACCGGGAATGTGAACTTTATCCTGAGAAATAAACACATGCTCTTTGTATACTGTAACACCATAACACCAAGAAGCTACTTAACTTCCACCATGCAAACAAGGGAGATACCACACGTAGTACAGCATCTTCATGGGAAAAAACCTCTTTGGTGCTTTTATCAGGAGCTAATTTAACAAACACAAAGCATGGCCTACTGTCTGCATTAGCCTTTAAGAGTGTAAAAATTAATTGCTTGCAATGCTTTGCTTTTTTTAAAAGCTGTAAATCATTGCTGATACCAATCTCTCAGCCATGTCCTAAAGGTTTATACACATTTTAAAACAAAAAAAATCAGCAAAGTAAGAGCTGCAGGAAAAAAAATTCCCAAGACCACCCAAAGGCAATAGTTACCTACCAAAGTAGATTAGAAAAATGCTTTCAAATACTACTAGGAAAAGAAAACCAGAAGCTGAGTCAGGATAACATAGCCTAAAATGAGGAAGACAAGAAAGACTCTACTCCTTGTCTAACAGCACAAGGAAGTAACAGGCCAAGTGAAACAGACCCTTGGATGAAAAGGTAGAATTAATTTGCTCATTAAGGCCTTGAAACCATTTAAGCATACGATCTGCTTCAAACACATGTGTAGCAAACCCATTTAGGTTATGCACTTTTCACATTAACGAATTAGGACTACATTAAAGTGCCTTATTGAGCAAATTTCTTTACAGGGCAAGGCTCCAGTCATTTGGCATCAGCCCCTTCAAATCAAGGCCCAGCAGGTATTCCACAGCTGCTTCACGCACAGGAGTCCCATGGGTATAAACATGGAACACACTGAGACTTCTGCTCCAGCCACCTCCACGTTTTTCGGCTAGTCTTCATTCATGCCAACCCGCTGCACTGCAGTACACGCTGAACTGACCTCAAAGTTAGTATTGTTGTTATACGGATGTTTAGATTCGCGCATCTGGACTGCCATTCCGGGCTCCTCCATGAACTGGCAAGCTGTCAGTGCCATTGTCCCCAGCATGCTCTCGCTGCACCCATGCAGCACTTTCTGTAGAATCTGGGGAGAAGCAACATGTCAAGTACATACTATTTGCTATCAACAACATTCACAAACACAAGAGTCATTTCTGGCGATACATTTTGGAAGAGAGAATTGAGCTCCTAGCAAGAAAGTGGACAAATTCACAAGTGATGCCTACAGGCGTCATCTCGTGCAGAAGGCTCTACTCAACGAGCCATTAGCTACACCTCCTTCCACAACTGCTAGAATCAAGGCTGATCCCCACAGTAGCTAGCAATAAACGAAAGCCACAAACAAGGAAGATAACCAAGTTTGTTAACATACTAAACACACGCCTTTACGTTCTATACCCACAGGTTGTGATGTGAACAGAATGTGCCATATGTTTTAGCTTTCAAAATGTACAACTCCACGGATAAAAAAGGAAGGATGAAGGATCAGTTAAGTGGCTGCAGTGTTTGAAAGCGCTAGGTGCAAAAGCTGTGTTTAAAATTACAAATAAATGCTATTTAACCTATCAGGACATGTTAAATGGTTATTCAGGACCACTGTAGTCTCCACTTCCGTGCACTTCTTAAAAACTATGAAAATCCCTTAATAAGGCATCCTGCTACTCGAGGCCCTTTACAGGCCATATAGCAACCTATTACAGCTCTTCATCTGAAACTTTCTAACTCCTCCTCTTAAATGTAATGCAAGCTCAGACCAAAAGGTTCATCTCCACATCAGCCAGAAACGGGTTTCTTGAGGAAAAGGAGTTTAAAAACCAAAAGGCAGTATGTAGCATAGTTCCTTGAATGCATTCTTTGTCTCCACACACTTGGAGAATAGCCTAAGAGAAAGGCTACATCTTTGTATTTAAAATGCCTTCGCAGATTTTTATTGCATCAGTTCATCCTGTCATTTTCTGAACCTGTATGAACACCCTGTGGCACCAATTTCAATGACATACTGTGTCAAGAACCAGTTCTTTTGGTTTGTTTTGGACCTGACAACTTAAGACCATAATCTGACTCTCCTTTGTTTGCCTTCTGGGAGGGCCCATGAATAATACTTGCTGTTTAACTTGGGTATGCCACTTACTGCTTTAAAACTAGAGAGAAGGAGCAACTGGCATTTTCATTAGTCCTTCCCCCATGGCCCCACAGGGCAAAGATCTGGGATGAAGAAAACTAGTTAGTTCCTCATACTGAGGTTATTCCATGGCTGCAATAATTCCTGCCACTCTTCCCCAGACCTCCTCCAGTTGTACTGCATCATCCCTTATTTTTTTTTTCAGATGAGATGAGGGAGTCAGGCCGCATGTTGCAGTCCAGAGGAGAGCACACTACTGGTTCAGTGGCACACCCATGCCTCCCGTTTGATTTTTAATTCCTTCTTTGAAGATTCCCAGCCCTTGATTTGCTTTGACTGCGGTGAAGCACTGAGCTGACATTTTCATTACAACATTCTATTGTCATTCCAAGATCACTTCCACCACGGCAACAATCAGCTCGTCAGTGGAGTGGCAGATACTACAACATACACACTGAGATCTAACAAAAAGCAGCTTTCAAAATGAGCTGCCTATTTTACCAATCTCTCTTATTTTCCCATATAGCTCTTTCATAACCAAAAGAGCTGTCTCCACGGAGCCAGATTTTCCATTTTCTGCTAACAAAATCAGTACATTAAGACACTGACAGGTTCCAACTGCTTCTTCAGAACTAATTTAAATTTTGGAGTTTCAATTTAGTCTAAAAAAGGAACAGCAAGGATTTTTGACAGTCAGAGTCCCGTGGCATGCAGACACAGGGCTTGTTCACACGCGTAAGTGAAATCCACTTACTTTTTCCCACAACTGCTTTTCTTCTAGCTGCATAAGCATATCCAGTATGTATGTCATATGGGCTGGGCCACTAAGATCCAGGATTTCCTCATTTATTGCCACATCATCTGGCCACTCAGCTAACAACGATGACAGCACATGCCTGGCATAAAGAACAGCAGTTGCCTCATTTACACGATAGAGGTAGTCCCTCACAGCCTTTTTACTTCGAGAGTCCAGCTCCTTGTGCAAGAGTATTGAACTCTTAGTGCGACGTTGCTTGGCATAACTAAGCTGTAGATCACTCTCCGTGTTGGTTATCAGTTTCTGGGCAACCGGATTGGTTTCTTCTGTTGCTTTATCGCAGAGCACAGGCTTTGACTGCAAAAAAGAAATGCAAGTTTGAAAAGAGGCTCTCAACAACTTACTTCCTTATGGTTGGCTATCTGACCAGTCCATCAGACTTGAAAGCTGAATTTACAAATCACAGGATCATAGAACAGTTTGGGCTGGAAGGACATTTAAAGGTCATCTAGTCCAACCCCCCAGAATCAATCTTTTGCATACTGAAAATCAGGTGCATCAAAGAACACAAAAAGTGTGATCTCTCAAGCACCTACAGGGACAGAATTCCTCAAAAAGACTATTTATGTCAATGGACTTCACACTGATGCATTCCTGACTGTACATATGAGCAGAAAAAACAGTTAGAATTCTAACCTGAAGCGTTAATGTAAGTGTAAATAAAGCAACAAAGGGCCATGACATCTGCGACACAGATGCAAGTTGAGAAAGACCTTTGGAGATCATCTGGTCTAAAGCTGAGCCAGCTTCGCTTTGCCCAGTTCAGCCTGGAGAATTTCCAGGGGTGGATATTGCACAGCCTCTGTATTTTTTTTTTTATAAGCATGGGAAACTACTTCGGGAAGCCCTCGATGCCGTTTACTACACAACTGACAGACACCTGTGCTGGCGATACCACACGGCCAGCGACCAGCAACCAAAATAAAGCAAAGAGCTGTGGGAGCATGCTGTTGAATGGAAAACCTCGAGCCTGTACGTGCAGTGTCTGCTTTACAAAACAAATCCCTTGCTTCCTTGTTCTGCTTAAGTTACTGTAAGATAACAATAGCATGGTAAAACAGTAACACAGCATAAGCTTGCAGTAATTAGATACAATCTCTCTTGTATAAGGAGAGGAAATTACAGCGTGCAATCACAATTTGTTTTCCAGATCTGAGAATCAAGTTCTCTTACTTACTAAGGAAGAAATTACAAGACGAAATGCTTGCTTCTTTTTGTACACGCTCACTCATTTTGACATAAAACTTTAATAACAGATTACCTCAGATGTTAAAAAAAAAAATCTCAGGTGTGAAGTTACTAAACAGAACTGAAGTTATCCGATGCCCAAATTCAGTATTACACAAGTACTTTTTGTGGAGACGCACGTACCAAACAGGGTAAGATGATCATATCTGTATCCACTGCTTTTGCACTCTGCTCCTCCAACCTCAGGCGCTTGCTGGGCTGCCACTTCTGAGCCAGTGTTCGGATCCTCTCATCTGTTGTAATTACATCTCCATCAAACCTTAAGAGAGGCAAAAGAAAAAACACATCCCACAAACGTGTTTTCAATGTAACGCAAACTAAATTAGCGCAGTTAAATGCAAATAAATCTTCCCACCTTCTGTTGTAGAAAGATTCGTTAAACTCTACCTATTTTTACGATATTAACTACCTTCCCTTTTCTAGGAGGTCAACGGTTTTACTTGTCATAAAATTGCTCATCACTCTGAGAACGTGATGGCTCCACAACATGCTTTGATTACCAGAAGCCACAGGTAAGCTCTCCATTCTTCCTCGGTTAGGCTAATTTAGAGACAGTAGATCTCCATATGGGAGTTATCGTGTCGACAAGAACATGCAACCTATTTCCGAAGATGGTGACTTGTTTCCACAAATACAACTCAGCAGGAGTTTATTTCCTTACCTTTTCATACATGAAAACCAAATCCTATCCTTGGAACAATACCTATTCAGCACCTCTTAGACTGTAGGCTACCACCTAGTAACTTGGTTTTTCTGCTGGACCCACTCTTTCACATACCTCTTTTGAACTTCCAGGAAAAAAGAATCTGTTCTTTTCATTTGCAACTCATACATGGCTCGAAGAATATGGAGAGGTGCATTCAGTGCATCATGTGTCATCTGAGCAAGGAGAATTAAAAAAGTGAAAGATATTACAGAGGGAAAAAGAAAAAAAAGAGAAGTTTCTTTAAGGATGACCTAGGTATGATTTTCCCACTATCATACAAGTAGAAAATTAATGAGCGTAATACCACCTGGATTAGTAAAAATGAAAAAGAACTTAGCAAAAAGCTTAATAATGACTTTGTCGTGTTCATGACTGCAGTCCTAGTATGAGTTTAGATAACAATACACTGAAATTATAAACCCATATTCTGTACATTTATAAGAAAATCAGCTGTATAAGCTACCAAATATTTTATGCAACTAGCAAATTCACAGTAACTTCAAAGGAGTGAAAAATAAGTTTAAAGTACCAAGAAGCATATTTTGGTGGCTTCATCCAAACCCTCCAGAGGATCAAGCTTGTTCTGCTCTAAATCAACAGGACCAACAACGGGTTGCTCCACATCTTGATCTTGTTCCCTTTCTTCCAGTTCTGTATCCTCCCGTTCAGCCAGGGAACTGATTTCTTTCTTTGAGGAATACAGCATTATCGACAAAATCTACACAGAAACAAGGTAGCATATGGTGTGACAGCTGGAGATATTATTAGTGTATCTGCAATCAGCATTTTATAAGAACACTAGAAGACTTGGACAGTGCTTAGCACATGCTATTCTAAGAAGAAACACCACATAAAAAAAAGAAAAAACAACCCAAAACACAAAACAAAACCCCTTCCCACATAACAAATGAGTTACACCTTCCATGCTGTTACAAAGACAACTTAAGTGATTAGCCGAAAGCGTTAAAAATTAAGAAAATAATTATTTAACCATTTCAGTACACCCAAGGTTTGAGGATTCTTAGCCAAGAGCAAAGCCAGCGATGCCCCTACACACTCCTCTCCTCTGAAAGCACACCTTTGCCTTTAGCACAGCCAACAACACGAGTACTCACAGCCAACAACACTAGTACTCATAACAGGAAGGAAACAGTGTTACACACACTCCCTTTGTCCTCCAATTTACGTCAGCCTCAGTTCTGAGCAACACGGCAGAGCTACAGCCAGACACTTCAGTGCTGGGGCAGACCACTGGCTTGGTACGACGCTGCCCAAAGGGGAGGAAGGTGGGATATGTCCCTGAGTCAGGCCTGGTCCCTGGCTGTAGGTCAGGAAGCAGCAAGATCCCACAGCCCAGATCTGGTTCTGTGCAATTTCTAACCCACCGCTCAGGACAACTTTTCAGAGGAGTTCCAGGGCATTGCTCTTTCTCTCTGTTATTGTTGCTACAGTCCTAAGCATGAATTAACACAATCCTTGCCTAAGATAAAATGTAACTAGCAGCTGAACCAGACTTCTCTTTCAACAATTAATGAACATTCAGAAAGAATGTGCCCACATGCATACCAATCTCCTCACACAGCACCATGTGAAGCCTGACTTCTTGCGAGGCAACTTATCTTCTTACCTCCAAGTCTCTGAGAAGCCAGGTCTTACTGAAGCCAGTTCCTTTGCTACACTTCTTCACTAGAAGCTTGAGTAATCCCGACTGAAGAAAGGCGGCTTGGATCTCCTTAAAGCCATGAATCTACACACACAATCAGACAGACAGAACTAAATGAATAAAAGGGAACAATGCTTCACAGTGCCTGCAATGGCTTATCACATGGCCTCACATTAAATTCCTGCCCAGATGGACTATGGTAGAAATATTTTTTTTTCATTTCCCTAAACAAAAAAAACCCAAAATACAGATGTCCACTTCAAAAGCCTTAAGAGTATCACCTATGACACGCACAGTAGTAACTGGATGTCTGCCTGCTCTGACAGATTCTCTCTGCAAATATTTCAGGAGTGAGAAAAGGGGTAAGTGAGCTTCACTCCAAAAAGTGTTATCCCTATAAGCGTCATCTTCAGCCTGCATGAAAAGTCAGCCCACACACAAGAAAAGCAATCCCATTTCAGCTCAGACTCACCAATGCTATTTAAAGCCCAGCAACATTTTCAGCCCCCTACAGACAGGGGACGAAAGGAGCCAGCTGTGAGAGACACGAACCAGCTTAGTTTCTCAGTGTGCTTAGTCAGCACCTACCCACCTGTCGTGCAAGGTAGAATACAGTTTTATTTATCTGTTATATCCTACGTGTCAGGCAAAAAGTACCTTGAGCGTTCTGTAAAGCCCCTTTAGAGCCAGTGACAGGACCCAGGTTGCTTCCACTGCCTCAGCGTAGCTACTGTCCATGCTGGTTTGCAGTAGGTGCGTGGATATGAGAGTGAAGTGCTGGAGGTATTGTCTCAGCTGGGTCTGGGAATCACTGCCTTCTTCTCCACACTTCTGAATCAACTGATAGTCTTTCACTACAAGAGAGAAAAAAACATACTTCTTACGCTCCTCTCAAAACGCTGTGAAATCATATCCTACCTGCAGGTATCAGCAGGCTGAGACAGGAACACGATCCAAACAGGAAGTACATTCCAATAACCAGTCATACCAAAGAGGCTGTAAAAACTCCCCATCTGCTTTGCTCTGGCAAAATGATGCTCTTGTACTGAAATTATCTCAGATTCATTAAATAGTCAAGAAAGCATTTCATTTTTCAGTGCAAGTTAGAACACCCCCAGGTAACTTCTGTCAACAGCTGATTGTCTGCAAATATCTGCACATGAACAGCTCAGCACACAGTGCAGCGCGTGTTGTATTTTACAATTAAAATGGGCAAAAGGCTGACCTGCAATTGATGTGATGAAATAATCTGTTTAAAATGTCAACAAGAAGCAGCTTTTATATTCAAATCCTTCTTCTATATCAGAAAGCAGTTTAGTCTGTTGATGTTTCCAAGTGTCTTTTAAACAACTCAAATAATCAACCCTTAGGACAACCTCTGCTTTATTAACTTCACAATATTAGGTCATGTATGCCAAAGCTGGAAGCCCCCGCACCTAGAAATCTAACTGATTCATGTTTTGCTTGACTGAACTTTTAAATAAGGTGAAATACAGGAAGAAAACTTTGGCACAACAAATGGGACCCAGGAGGCCGCATCTAGCTCTGGGGTTCTGTTGTTTTCTGGTGGCTTTTGCTGTTGGGGCTTTTTTTAATAGCCTTTAGACACCATAAAAGCCAACACACTCTACCCAACATGCCCTACAACAGCTTATTCTGAAATATCCAGATGCTGTCCCTAGAGTATACTCTATTTCATGCTGTGTAACATTTTCATCTCAAACTTTAGGGGTATCCAAACCATTTTGAAAAGTTCTTCCACACAGGAAAAGAGCAAAGAAGATAGACTCCTGACATTTTATAAAGCACATGATTAATTAAAGAAGTTAGGCCTGTCTTCATGGCATGTTTTGTTACAGGACCAGGAAAAAACCAGCCAACAGAGCATCATTTCAGCAGCAGTCAGTCGATAACGGGCGTGTTTGTTCTTAGCCTCCATTTACTAGCAGGTAGCACATCATGTCCACAGTGGAAACAGGCACCTCAAAAATACAGGGAGCAACATTTTTGGAGCAACAAAATGGACTGTCCCAAAAAAGTTCAAGCTCCAACTACCTTTCCTTTACATAGCAGCATCTACACACACAGAAGCAGCACATGCATTTTTTAAATTTGCAATTGTTTTAAAACATTAAGAACATGTCTGTAAAGGATAAGACCCAAACAGTAAGCAAATCTCAAACAGACTATTGCATAATCAAAGGCCTATTTCTGAGTTTTCTTAATTAATGAAACAGTCAACCGTTTCTTAAATCTTTTTCTGAATATAAATAAATATCCGAGTTTAAGAAGAAAATGAGTCTCCATAATATTTACTGCAGAAGTTTCATAATGCGGTTTCACCTACGAGCAGAAAATCAAGCGACTTACTAATAACGGAACTCGAATCTGCAGACCTGCAGAAAGGGGTCTAGTTAAAATACGCTTTTGGGTATCCATAAGAAACCGTAAGGAAATACTCCGTGATTCTTTGATAAAATAAAAATGTCACACAACCTGTTTTTCTCTTTCGGGTTTTGATGTCTACTACAACTGCCCTGTTTTTCTCCGTGAAATGCTTCAGGATGATCACGTTATGAGGCTCATTAGCATTATCCATGTACACAGAACGAGTTCCCATACACAGCACCTGAAATTGCAAAGGTTTCAATTATGGTTTGGAATACTTATTGGTAAATACAGTCTGGAATACTTATTGGTAAATACAGCCATCTTTTATACTGGTTACGTTTGCTTACCCTTGGCATTGTATTTTTTAGCTGAACAATCTGCTCGCTGCCAGGTATTTGCTGATCTTTAGAAAATGGTAATTCATTTCTAGAAAAAGATGCCTATAACAACCAACTTGATGCTATATAGGCAACATACCAGAGCTATGACTATCATCAGTGAGATTGGATTGTTTCCCTTTTTGATACCCACATGTACTAAGCTGGTTTTCTCGTGACAGTTGTTAAGTAGCACACAAAGAAATGCAAGGAAAAACCAGCTACGTACTTCTTCACTAGATACACACTGGCTGTGCACAAGTGGGACGATGTGAACTCTGACACACACTGTGTTTTCACAGTTTATAAAGGGTGTCCCCAGTTGATGAAATCTGTAGCATTCAGAAACCAAAATCTACAAGCTCTAACCAATTTAGTTTCCTTTCGTATCGATAGGCCACTTACCTCAGGAAACCCAACCAGCACCAATAAAGTGAAGATATTGGTGTGCTTTAGCTGGAAGGGCAGCTGCTTAACGCAGTGGTCAGTGAAAGCAGCGATCACATTATGCCACTGCGCAGAAGAGTTCAAAGATCGAAGAATATCTGCCATGGAGCTTGCCCAGTCCAGACCTACACGGCTGGAAAGCAAGAGCAGTCTGTGTTAGGAGGGCTGACTACAGACCTACCTGAAACTGTTTTTCCTAAAGACAGCATATCACTGTTCATCCATCATAGCTATAGCTTTCCTATCATTATATAACTGGTTTTCCAAATATTTGGAGCTTTCATGTCAGCTGACACACAAATTCTATTTTGGTTTTCATCATTAGAGCACAAATATTACCCTGTTTTCTTAAAGGTTTACAGTCCCAAATCAAAGTGTGCCTGAACGCTGTCACCTTTAATTCTTCAGTTTAGAGCTCAGCAGCTTTTCTTTGCACGACAGCAGGTGGTTTATTTCTCATGTACGTGACTAAATTCTCTGTCTCCGTGGACTACAGAGATGATCCAACAAGACTGGCCTCCTCGCCCTAAAGTTAGTCTGAGAAACTCCTTTCCCCCATCTGATCCTGCAGGTCTTCTGCCTCTACATTTCATAGCTTTTCCATTTGCTAGGAACCTTCCCTTTAAGACTCAGGTACAATGGAAAACAACACTGTCCTATCTCACAAGCATGATATTAACGTTACAACGCTTGAGTGCTTTCTCAGGATTTTCAAAATGGAATGTCTGCCCTGCCCCTCCTTGCTGTTTTCAGAGCAATTTAACTACACAAAAATATCTCTCTCCAATTAAAGGGCCAGATCCAGAACTCAGCGCTGATGACAATTACCACATGACACACTTTCCTCCTTTCCCAAGTTACACAAGAGAGAAATTTTCTCCCTTGAGTTACCTATGTCATACAAAAATATAGGACTCTGCTTTGGTTTTCCTTGAAGTTTCAAAACCGTACTTCTCCCACCAGAACGTGGTACATAGGTGCACTCAGGAACTTAACTCACTCTTCAGCAGCCTTCTTTCGGAAGGAAATTAAGAGATTTTCACTGCAACAAGTGAGAATCCCTGGTCACGGTACAGGTTTAACTGACTTTCCATTAAAAAGCTCCTATTCATGAAGCACACATGAACGAAAATTAGCATTAGGTCATCAGAGAGCAAAATAGGTGTAAAGTAAAAAGCACCTGTCTAAACACACAGCTCCCAGACTGAACAGAAGGTGAGTTGTCTTCCAGCCTTCTGGCACCGTAGACCCATCTCCCGCAGCAAACAGGCTGTGTTTGGTTGAGAGGACTTTAGCCACTGCAGCATCCACTTCTGCAGGCTTAAGTCTCAGGATTAGCTGGCCCAGAAGTCCCAGAGTTAAGTGGTAAGTTTCATTTAGGTGGCCAGCGTTTGAGATTACAACCTGAAACATCAGTGGAAGTATTTGTTCCAGGTTAATCAAAGACATTGTGGAGCCCTGTGGAAAGAGAAAAATCTCAGTAAGGCTGGGTTAGTCAAAATCACAGCACATACAAAAATCTTCTGTTCTAATGCTCTTTCAAATGGGACAAAAGGAAAATGAGAAACTAGGTTCTTACTTCTGTTGTTGACCTGTTAAGCTGACCTGGCACATCAACCTAAGCTGATGGTTTACACTTTGCAGGTGTTAAAATAAACTGCTTTACAGATTAATTAAAGTTCCCTTCCCTCTCCCACCATGCAGGAACAAGCCTTTACATTCCTTAGTAATGTGAAATGTCTTAAGATATTCTGATTCACAATTTATAACATGAGCAACAAACAGGAGCCCATGTCCCATATTTCATTCGCTATGGATTTTATTCATGTCATTTGTGATATCTAGAAAACGACACAGATTGAAAGGAAGAAGAACTAACTGATTTGAAAGGTGGTAACATAGCTGCCAGCAATCCTAGAATCCTCTTCTGGGAGCATTCAGCAAAAACTTGTTCCTGGCTAGGTATTAAAACCTTCTCTGCTTGCTTCTGGGCTGAGTCCTCCAAGAGGTAGTCATCTGCTTTTAAATTAAAACAAAGAAGAAAATCCCCAAAATGACATTACAATTAATAATAATTAAAGGAAAGTAATAACTTCTATAGTTACAATCCAAGGATAAAACCCCTTTTTAAAAAAAGGTTACTAACATTTGAAAAGCTAGTCTTTATAAAAGCGTATAGAAGATAGTAAAGAGATTTACACCATCTATTACACCAGATCCTGGGCTGTATCCAGAGAAGTGTGGCCAGCAGGTCGAGGGAGGGGATTCTGCCCCTGTACTCTGCTCTGGTGAGACCCCACCTGGAGTGCTGCGTCCAGCTGTGGAGCCCTCAACATCAGAAGGATATAGACTGGTTGGAGCAAGTCCAGAGGAGGCCACGAAGATGCTCAGAGGGATGGAGCACCTCTGCTATGGGGACAGGCTGAGAGAGTTGGGCTTGTTCAGCCTGGAGAAGAGAAGGCTCCGAGGAGACCTTATTGCAGCCTTCCAGTACCTGAAGGGGCTACAAGGAAGCCGGGGGGACTTTTTACAAGGTCAGGGAGTTACAGGACAAGGGGTAACGGGTTAAATTGAAAGTGGGGAGGTTTAGATTAGATATCAGGAAGAAGTTCTTCCCGGAGAGGGTGGGGAGGCACTGGGACAGGTTGCCCAGAGAAGCTGTGGATGTCCCATCCCTGGAAGTGGCCAAGGCCAGGCTGGATGAGGCTTGGAGCAACCTGGTCTAGTGGAAGGTGTCCCTGCCCAGGGCAGGGGGTTGGAACTGGATGGGCTTTAAAGGTCCCTTTCAAGCCAAACCGGTCTGTGTTTCTATGATTAAAAAACATGAAGGACAGTACTACGGACAGACCTATTACACTATCATAATTCTGACCATGCTGGTCTTTAATGGAATAAGACACTTAACTTCTGGTTCTAAGCACATAAGAACTCACAAGTATTGTGTCATACTACAAGGAATTGTAATCTCTATACATGGATATGTATCGGTGAAATTCTACTGCCAGTCCCAGAACCCTTTAAACCGACTGCAAGACAGCAGTTGTTCAAAGCAGCACGCCTGGCAGGTTTTTACAAAGCAGACAGCTCACTTGCATTAAACACATTTGCAAATACATAAAAATAGCTTAGGAACAAAAAATACAGCTGTTTGTTTTGCATAAGAATGGATATTTCTGTGACAGGGAAAAAGAAATAATCTTCTACCTGTTGGAGAAACAGTATCATCTACAGACAAGTCTGACTCTTGTCTCAAAACAGCTTTCTTTGCAAAGACAGCTTTGCTTTCACTTCCTTGTTTTCCTACTTTATCTTCTGCAGGAGACTGGATTTCACTGCGAGCATGTCCTTTCCCCTAAAAATAAAACAAAGACATGAAAAGATTTAAACAAAATTTAATACCTGCAGAAAGAACCATGGAAGGAAGAAGCCAGTCATCTGCATCTGACAAACACTTTTCCTCAAATATCAAAACCTTTTATGCGTTAAGAACTTCTTGATGTAAACATACCTTAAGCTTCCATATGAGCTGTTATGCTCATATCTCTAGGTATGAGATTGTTACACTGTACAAAACTCATTCTCTAACCCAAACAGTGCTACCAACTAGGGGAAACGACAGCCCTTTCAGGAGGAACGTCCTCTGCCCCTTTCCCTCCAACGCTTCTGTGAATCAGTCTCCTGTAAGAACACAAGGTGATGTCTTCGGCTTTGAACCACCCAACAAGCAGCCCTTTGCCCCCCTCAGTTTTACCTACAAACAAAATCGTTTCTGGGCATTATTTCAGTTCCACAGCCAGAACAGGACGTTTCAGTTCTGAAGATCACTCACCTAATTGATACCAGGGGTTCTGTAAAGAACGGGTACTTACACTGCAATGCGTAAAAGAGCCTGTGCTTGGTTTCTCATCCCGTCCCTTCACTGCTTTATCACCAGTGTGACTTTTCAGAGCATCATCTGTGGGAGGACCGACTGAAACAGTGTCGTTCTCTGAGAAGGATTCACCTTCTGGCAACATGCAGAGGAGAGCTAAATTTTTCAGACCTTAAAGTAAAAAAAAAAGTTACAAAAGCTATTTAGTTGTTGAGTGGCAAGATCAGCAAAATGCAGAACTGAAACATTTTGAGACAACTCAAAACTTTCCCTCACGCACTTCTTTTGAATACCAACTCCATCAAAAAGATGTTCCCTTCATTATGTAGTTCCATTAAATAAGACTGTGATGAACAGGTGGCAACATTTTCCACCTCACAAAGACACCATCAGTGTAGAAATCTTAGGTTAAGGAAGTGTTAGAGGTACCTCCCAGCAGTGTGAATTATGAAAAGTAAATGAAATTTGTGTTAACTTTTGATCTTCTGACCAGTAAAACTGCCTGATAAAAATACATTAAATAGTGAGTATGAGTAAGTATTTGGGGGCAGTGGTGGTATTTCATGGAATCACAGAGAGTTTTGGGTTGGAAGGGACCTTA